GGCCGGAGGGGGGCGGGCCCTGGGCCCGGACCGAGGGGTTCAGCCTCCACACCGAGCCCGAGAGGACCGGCCTCGGGCCTGAGCCGGGGTCAGATGATCCACAGACAGAATCCTGGACGGGCGGACAGACTGAGCCCGAGGCAGCTGGCCTTGGAGCAGAGACGGCGGGGCCCAGCCGAAAGACGGAACCAGGCAGGTCCGGCCTCCGGAGCCACCCAGAAAGCAGCTGGTCGGAACGGGAGACGACCGAGACAGATAGCTTTTGGACTGATCCGTACAGGGCCGACCTCCAGACTCAGCAAGAGATGGCCAGCCTCCGGACACAGCCAGGGCTTGATGGGCCCTGGACAGAGCTAGAAAAGCATGGGTCACAGACTCAGCAAGAGAGGGTCAAGCCCTGGGCTGATAACCTCTGGACCCACCAGAGCAGGTCCAACCTCCGGACTCACCAAGAGGGAGCCCGCTCCTCAACAGAACCAAGTGCCGATGGCTCCTGGAAAGAATTGTACGCTGATGGCCTCAGGACACGACAGGATACTGAAGGTTCCTGGATAGAACCATACACTGATGGCTCCCAAACACGACAGGATCCTGAAACAGCCAGGAAACAGCCTGGCATGGATGGTTTCCCAATACAACAAGATACTGATGGCTCCTGGACACGGCCTGGCTTTGATGGTCCCCAGACAGCACCTGAGACAAACTGCCTTTGGGGAGAACCCGATGATGTCCCATTAGAGGAACCGGAAACTGGGGAGTTGGTGACTCACCTGTACTCTTCCCTGAAGTGTAGCCCCCCGTGCCCTGTGCCCCGCCTCATCATCACCCCTGAGACCCCAGAGCCTGAGGCCCAGCCTGTGGGACCTCCCTCCCGTGTTGAGGGAGGCGGTGGTGGCTTCTCCTCTGCCTCCTCTTTCGACGAGTCTGAGGATGACGTGGTGACTGGGGGCGGAGGTGCCAGCGATCCCGAGGACAGGTCTGGGGTGAGTGGGACCCATCCTGCCCTTGAGCCACATCTCCCCAGACCCCTGATCCCTCTGCCTTTGCTTGAGACGTTCTCTCCCAGTTTGCTTTTAGTTGCCCACCAGCAGTCGCACCTCCGGGCACCTCTTCCATCCGCTGACCTCCTCCCTCTGACAGTCAGGTTACTAACCCACTCCAGGCACCCCCTCCTGATTCTTTCCTTTCCCCTCCCTGACTGCCTCCAAGTCCTGTGGTCTACAGTGGAGCCCAGGAACCCTGAAATTGTACAACTGAGTCTGTGTGTGTACCTACATATTTTTAAGCGAGGGTCTATGATATCTGTCACATCCTCTGGAGAGTCTGTGACTCCCCCCAAATCTGAAGAACGTTGGAATAGGGAAACAGAAAGGGTGCATTTTCTACCCCAGATTTCTTAATGTGGGGCCTGTGACTGCCTTAAAGGGCATGAACCATCATCACCCCTTAGCCCATTTGTATATCTTTCTTTCTTCCTTTCTTTCCTTCTTTCTTTCCTGTCGGGGTCTCGCTCTGGTACCCGGGCTGGAGTGCAGGGGCACCATCACAGCTCACTGCAGCCTCGTTCTCCTGGGCTCAAGCGATCCTCCCACCTCAGCCTCCCGGTAGCTGGAACTACAGGTGCACGCCATCATGCCTGGCTAATATATTTATTCCTCACCGCAGCCCTATGAGGGAGATACTATTATTCTCCCCTTTTACAGATGAGGAAATTGGGGCACAGAGAGGTCAAGTTACTTGCTCTGTTGCTCAGGCTAGTCTCCAACTCCTGGGTTCCAGCAGTTCTCTCACCTGAGCCTCCTGAGTAGCTGGGACTATAGGTGTGCACCACCATGCCTGGCTAATTTTTATTTTATTTTATTTTTTGTAGAGATGAAGTCTCACTCTGTTGCTCAGGCTGGTCTCGAACTCCTGGGCTCAAGCAGTTCTCCCGCATCCACCCACCAAAGTGCTGGGATTACAGGCATGAACAATTGCGCCCGGCCCCATTTGTACATTTTTCTAGGGAGTGAAGTGAGCCCTAACTCATCCGCTTCTCAAAGGGCTGTAGGAACTAAAAACACTAAAGGATCCTTGACCTAGCCAGGGGCCCGCCTGGTCTCCCCCTTCCTCCCAGGTGTCCAAGGGGCCATCTGTCTTGTTTACATCATCCACCCTGGCCGCCAGCTTGGGTGTGGCTCTCCCCTGTGAATCAGGAGGGCTGGCTGGGCAGGTTCAGGGAGGGAGGTTCACAGCAGGGGCAGGTGTGAAACTGCAGAGCCTCACGTGGATCTGGGAGCATAGTCCGCAGCCCTCTAGCTTGCCAGCTTGGCTGCTGAGTCCTCCCAGAGTCCGGGGCCCCTGCTGAAGTCCGCTCTGAGCCTCCCTCACCCCACATGCCTTGCTTAGGAACGTGTTCACACACGTGGCCACAGTTGTGACAGACAGACCTGCCCCGACGTGCCCATGCAGAGGAGCTGACTTCTGGGATCTTTCGCCATGGTTTTTCTCTCTGCTGCTTTCCCATCTCCCTGGCATCGCAGAACAGCTGAGCAGGAACAACCAGTAGCACTCACTCGGTCCAGTGCTACGCCAAGCTCTTCTCTCTTATGAACTCATTTATTCCTCACCGCAGCCCTACGAGGAAGATACTATTCTCCCCTTTTACAGATGAGGAAATTGGGGCACAGAGAGGTCAAGTTACTTGTCCAAGGTCACACACCTTGGAAGACACAGAGCTGAGATTCAAGCTCTTACCATACACCAGGCGCTCTTTTAAGTGCTTTATTATTATTATTATTATTAGAGACAGGGTCTTGCTCTGTGGCCCAGGCTGGAGTACAATGGCGCGATCCTGGCTCACTGTAGCCTTGAACTTCTGGGCACAAGTGATCCTCCTACATCAGCCTCCAAGTAGCTGGGACTACAGGCATGCACCACCATGTCTGTTTTTTGGGTTTTTTTAAAAAAAATTATTTTTATAGAGATGAGGGGTCTCGCTATGATGCCTGGGCTAGTCTCAAACTCCTGACTTCAAATGATTCTTCTGTCTCTGCCTACCAAAGTGCTGGAAGGTTTACAGGTGTTAGCCACTGTGCCTGGTTTAAGTGCTTTATATAGGTTAACTCTTTGAACCCTTACAACAGCACTATGATACTGGGATTATTATGATGTCTATTTTACAGATGAGGAAACTGAGGCATGGAGAGGCAAGGCCACTTGCTTAGGGCTGGCCTACTCAAGTTGGAACCAGGATTCTAACTCAATTCTGTCTGAGTTTCAGACCTGTCATTTAAACCCCTGCAGTGTGGATCTGTCCCTAACTTGCCTTCCTCCCAGGCCTTCCTGTTTCCAGTTTTTCCTCATCCTTCCAGAATCTGTCTCTGTGGCACAGCTCTGATCAGATACTACCCTGCTCAAGTGCCTTCCTGGTAGCAGTCAGGAGCTCGGTGCTGCATTCAGAGCCTTCGTCTTAAGGCTTCTTCTAGGGCCTGGCCCCTGTCTTCCCTGCTGACCTCCTTTGCTGTAACCAACTCAAAGTACATGCTGTTCCTTGAACACCCTTCGCCATCCTGCCTCCACATGCTGCTCAAGCTGTTCCCACTGCCCAGAATATACTCACTTCCTTCTTCCTTAATTTTGAAATCCCATCTGACGGTAAAGGCCCAGCTCCCTTTCTTCCTTTTCCTTTTCCTTCCTTCTCAGCATCCTGTCCTTCGAATTAGTCAGCAGTTGGTCCCTGAGCCCCTACTGTGTGTTTGGCCCTGTGTTGGCTTTGCTGGGGACACAGCCGTGACCAAGACACTCATGGGGCTTCCAGACCAATGGGGGAGATACACTCATCGCCAGACAGTGATATCTCTCAGGGTGATCAGGGCTGCAATGGGGGAAGCCCAGGAGGTTGTGGGAGCCCAGAGGAGATAACTGGTCAGACCTGATGTATCAGAGAGGGCTTTCTGGAGGAGGAGGATGTGAGCTAAGACTATCACGAAACCCTCTGAGAAAGCCCAGATTAACCATCATATCTAAGATAAAAGAGAAAGAAGATACTAAGTCTATTTATGATTTTGTTTTTTAAATCAAAAACTAACTTCCTTCAATCCAAGCAGCGTTTTTGAAGCAGCTATTGTGTGCCATGCCATGTGCTGGGGACACAGTTGTGACCAGGGACAGCCCTATTGCCTTCCTTAGAAGCTTGTAGTCCAGGCTGGGCTTGGTGGCTCAGCCTGTAATCCCATGCTTTGGAAGGCCGAGGTGAGTGGATTGCCTGAGCCCGCGGGTTCGAGACCTGCCTGGGC